TACAAGAAGAGAAGGAGAATGTGTATGACTTCTACTTGCCCGTAAGATCTATTTATACTTGAAAAGGAGGTATAACAACCATGCTATATAGATGCATCACATCATCCCCCAATGTTCTAAGAAAAGTTTCTCAAACAATAATTATATATAAGAATCATTCAAGAACCTTCTGGTATTTCAATTTCAAATGAAGGACAATCACTCATAGATGATAGTAAAATCACTCTCATCTTTTAAATCTAAGAAAATTTGGTATTCATGGTGCCAAAGTAAGAGAGCCTAAAAGAATGATACAAACTTTCCATTCAAAGTATTATTATGTCTTTAAATAAAAGAAGATTATAGCTTATGAAGGAAGAGTTATTCAGTGTCTATATAAAATAGTGAAGAATGAATATTCCTTTAAGAGATAGAAAAAGTGAAGCTTGCAAATAGAACAAGGATGAATGAATATTCTACCTTCTAAAGGTACTATACATACTTGAAAAATAATTAGAGTATTGTAGTAGTCACACGATGATTCGCATGCACGCGCCCATGTAGCCATGTCCCAACATGCGTGGGCAAAGCACAATTTTGTATGTCTTCTAAAATACATAGTGTGCATGTGCATAGGTACATCACTGTGCACATGTCTGCACATGTAAATACATCCTTATGAGCACTATTACATGCACTTATGCATACCTCTACAAGTGTGGCCATGGATGCACCTATGCACATGCACACTAAAGTTAACTGTAATAACAACAACGTAAAACCTACCATGAGCTTTGATATATCTATGTCACTATTTTTTTTTTTTGATACATTTCACTAAATTTTGATACTTTTATATCTCAAAAATAAATTTTAAGAAATTCTAATATTTGAGATTTTTTAATTCTAACTTTAATTTAAGTGCTAATATTAAGAATAATTTAAATTATGAATAATAAGATCTATTTTGATTTATGGCCTTAAAAAGAGGTAAAAAATGACATCAAGTGAGCGGTTTTTTTCTTTTAAATATTTGGTAAACAAATTTCTTCAAGAATTTATATATTTTCTTGGAGAGCAAAAAATTTGTATATATGAACATAGGGGGCAACTTATATGTCACCAAAAAATTTGCATGACCAGACTTGAATCTCGATATATTTTGGGTAAATCCACTATCCAATTTTATATGAGTCCAATTAAAAGCTATAGAATTAATGAAGAGATCAAACAAATATAGAATTTGGTATGGTTATAGTTAAATTGAATGGTTTACAGAGATAAAATCAATAAGTCTGATAACACTCAATTTGAAGTCATCAAGTCACTCAATTTGAAGTCATCAATAAGTCTGATTCCACGGGTAATGTAGAATTTTAAAATTTTAGTTAGATTTATAAAATGTAACTCTTAGAAATTATAAAAAAGCCTCATTCTTTCCTCATGAAAAAAAAAAAAGCTAAAAGCTAATTATGAACTAATGAAAAAAATAAGTAGAAGCAAGCTACTGACGGTAGAGAATCAACATTGTTCATCCATCACCAACAATTGTTGTAACCCACCCACTTATTGTCATATGTTTGCTCTAATCTGCATTTATTATTTAGAGCATTTACATACATACCACTCAATTCCCATGTATTTGTATATTTGATACTTAAACTTTGCATTCTATATTCATACCTCCCAAAAATTCATATCACAATAAACAAATCATCTTTTTAACTTTTAAAAAGTGAGAAAAATCTTCTTAAGAATACTTAACCTCGCATACATGTAAAAAATATAGTTTAGCTGTTGGATTTATAAATACATAGAAATGTAGGCAAATTTTCTTTATTATTTTCTAATTCATTTCTTTTAAAGAGGATGAGTGAAACTTTGTAATCCGGGCTTTCATTTTTAATTAAGACGTTGATTTCTCACGATCACTCAATAAAAATTAGAAACCTACTAGTGAAATTCTAATTATATGCTTGTAGCATCATGTCAACCAGTGCCCAGACTAAATTTCTTCACACTTAGGAGTAGAGCCGTCAAAAAAACTCGTTGTTCGCGAACAGTTCATATTTGACTCGTTCGTTGAGTAAACGAACCCCCACCCACAAACCACACCTTTCTCCCCCGTCGGC